TTGCCTGAGGGAATGATCTATCGTGTATTATTTATTACTGAGTTTGCTTTGTCCTTCCTCTAACAAGGAATGATAGGAACTCTTTTCTAGGTCCTCAGCAGAACTTGTTTGCATTATTAGGCAGTTATTACAGAATGGCAGGTGTTGTCTTGTACTACCCTTCAAAAACACTGCTGACATATATGAGCTAGAGGCAGAGATATATAAAAAAAAGGCTAATGAATTTAGCTGTATGGTTAACTTAGCTAAATGAGGATCTTTCTAAGGGTAATTATAAATAATACAATGAAAACTAATAACAATGGAAAAAATGTTATAGAATCGTAGTTTTAAAAAGAGAAGCACAGGCCTCATAGCCTGTTCTGTCAGCCTCTATAATACTTTATGTTCTCTCTAAGTGCTGGGGTAGTTCTGAGAAATGTCAGGTAGGTGAACTATTGTTTGTTCATTCATTCGCTCAATTGTATTGTATGCCTACTATATGCCAGAAACTATATTATATTTTGGGAACAAATGATCAACAAGATACAAGGTCCCTCTAGGATCTCTTAGCCTAGTGGGAAAGATGGTGATAAAAACAGAAAACAGTGTGATAAAAACCATAGTGGAAGCTGTGCAGGTGCTGTGGGAAAAGAGAGGGGTTTCCCCAATTTGTCAGGTGTCAGGGGATAAGGGAAAATTAATAGAAAAGGTGACATCTAATCTAGATCTTGAAAGCCAAGTAGGGATTCCCCAGGCAGACACGGGTGCATTCTAGGCAGAAGAAACCACATGTGCCAAGGCACAATTATTTTAATGTGGATAGATACAAAGTGGGCGTGAGAAGTAGGAGAGGAAATGGACAATTAGAGAAGAGCCAAATAATGCTAGAGTCTGGATTTTATCTTGTAGATGACGGAAGGTCATTGCTAGACATAGCAGGCTTAGTTAATGTTTACTGAAGAAATATGGCTAAATCAAATATGAACAAAATTTGATGGTTCTGTTGAAAGAGTTCTCGTCAGTCTTTAAGAAGTGTATTTGGATAACTTTTGTCTAAAGAAGGCTTAAAAGAATATATAGAAGAATGTTGCTAGATAGAATCCCCGACTCACTTCTCTGCTACCCAAAGCAGCATGAGCTACACAGGTTCTGAATCAGGAGGTGCTCATGGGGGGAGATCAGGACAACAGAAGAATTAGAGGTAAGAATATAGGGCTGGCCGGCTAACTCAGTTGGTTAGAGCGTAGCCTTATAACACCAAGGTCATGGGTTCAGATCCCTATACAGGCCAGCCACAAAAAAAGAAAAAAAGTAAGAGTATAAAATAGAAAGTGGTTGGTTGGTGAGAACAATAGAAAGATAAACTGGATGAAGTAATAAGAGTCTTGAGGGAACATGATGAAATAAAGAAGGTACAGGTATTTGTATATTCAGTATCTCTTGGCAACCTCTGACTGAGATGGGTACATAGAAGGAAATGACTAACACTTTCTGCTCTGTCACTGAGATTTAATTGTATTTTAGAATCTTGAAGCATTCAGTATGTTACCAGGTGCATATCTCTGTCACATAAGTCATCCATTAAATGTGTGAATTCTTATTATGGGCAAGGTTCTGAGCTAGATGTAGAAGGACATTCAAAGGTGAATAAGGCACGGCTCCTTCCCTCAAGAAGCTTATGATCCAGTGAACAAAAACACAAGTAATTATAGCATAAAGCAATACCAGTATCATAGAAAAGGCTTAAATATTGCTGGTGGCAGTACTGGAGTTAGAAAGAAAAGCGTGAATCATTTATCTGCCTCAAAAAATTTAGCAAAACCATTTAAGTCCATGATACTAAATTACAAAGTGAGTTGGTGTTTGAGGATCTCATATGATGAGAGATAATTAACTTGATTACAAGCTCGAATGCCTTAAGGAAAAGTTTATGATTTTCAAATGTCAAAGGATGAGAAAGAAATTATAGTTAGAGGTTGTAAACAGAAGGAATTAATAGAACCTTTGGAAATGTTTGACCTAAGGGCTTGGCATGCTTGGGAGGCAGCACACACAGTTCTTGGTCTCTTTCCAAAGCTGGGACTAAGGATCCTTTTGGGAAGTTAACATCCAGTCTTTCAGGATGTCTAAGGACATCACCTACCCCCTTAGGTACTAAGTAATATGCTCATCAATTGCTATCGCCCTCCCAGCCTTCTGAAATGGTAGGGAAATGAAAACGAGTTTTGTAACCATAAATACCTTTGGATTTGCTACCCCCCTCAAACACACTAGATATGTACACGGAAATTGGGAAAGATAATTTAGTTAAGATTATTATAAGTCAGAGACCTAGGATCCTGAATAAAATATATGTTCCTGAAATTTTCTCCTGAAAGACCCAAGTTAGCCTTATTCCTCCTAATTGACACCCTGACTGCTGACTTCTTTGAATCTCTGGTTGTCTAGTTTCTTTGGCTTTCCATTTGTGAAGTTGGTCTAAGTCATTCGGAAATTTCAATTTTCTTCATTTTCCTAGGGAGCATGCTAAATAAAACCAGATAATGAAAATCATGCAATAGGACGTCTCTGTATCCTTCCCAGAGATCTAAGTTTTTGGTATTGTTGAGAGATATAGTTAAATGAAGAAATATTTTCAGGAGATCCATTATTAAATATCCTTTGTTACCCATTCTAAACCTTCCCAAAAAAGTTAACTGGCATACATTGTTCTGTTTCCAGGCAATTTTCATTTCTTGTGATAGTCCTTATAAGAAGAAATAGTTTTAATGATTTTTGTGAGTAAATTTTTTTTTTTTCCTTTTTGTCGTGTCCGGCAACGGATCGCAACCCTCAGTGTCG